AAAGCTACCGATGCAGTTCAACACAAGACTATAGATATAAGTATCGGGAGGAGTAGGAGGATCAGTCTTGTCAAGCAACTCCATATACGGTGTGCGAACCACACTCCACTGACTGCTGATTCCTGGTACATCAGTGTCCGTTGATGGAACGGTGGTTCCGATGACGCCAGCAACCCCACCAGCCTCGAGTGTGATCTGCTCCTCAGTGATAGATCTCGCATGCTCAACTCGGGAAGGGACGGTCGATCGGCTACTAACTCCGATCAATGTGGGCTTTTCGGAAGTTAGGCGGACAAGAGAGGCCATGTGGTCTTTGAGGATATTCTTTCTCCGGTCATCCCTGTCGTACAGCGAATACATGAGCCTTACTAGACCTGGTTCGGCATATAAGCCTCGAAAGACCTCCATGCAGAGGACTCGTTTCCAAGGGGAGTTTCCGTCTGGCTCAAGGAGATGCGTCAAGAGACCAAGGGCCATCTCGCACTCCGCGGGAAGGAGTGACATATGGCGTTTGAGGAGCACCAAGAGGATGCGACTGACTCGAACAGTCTGCGAAAAGCTATGCCGTTCAGACAGATACCTTACGATCAAGGGCATGAGCCGAACTCGCAAAGTCTGCGTTAGCTCGGAATGGACAACGAATAATTTGCCGCTGTTGACCAGGATGCTCTCAATAAGCTCAAGGGTGAACGATGAAGAGAGGGATTTGATTCGAAGGAAGTACAAGGGTTCGCCATCAATGAGTCGACAGAGATCGTCCAGGACCTTGTGAGTCAGTGAGCCATGAAATCATGTCAGCTTAAGTGGAAGGCCACCTACCCGCAGAGCATCGTATGCAAAATACCCTACATTCACAGGGTTCCCGTCGACCTTAACAGTCGTCATTGGAGTTGTTTTATCGAAATTCTCTGGTTCTCTAGTCAGGCCTGTGTCGCGTTGGGAGGAATAGAAAGTACATGGTTACTGACTGTCTTCGATCGATACACGGTCAAATGTTGATACGATCAGCTGCTGCAATGTGGCTGCGGCGGTACTGGAGACTGCAAGCATCTTGTTCCCTTGCAGAGTAGCACAGATCTCCAAAGTGCTTACTAGGAGGTCTCCTCCCAGGTCACTGGAGTAGTGCTGCAGTAGGGAAGGCAAAGACTGCAATATTTTGAGCTGAATGTCCAGGCCTTCGCAATGTCAGTATGGAATGTAGTGTTTGTAGGTGGTAACTTACTCATGTTCGTTGTCTCCTTCAACCCAGCAAGTACATCTTTCAGCCGCTCAGATGGCAGCGATCGTGAGGCCACTAGCCTTTGCAGACAGACGACCCCAATGCCTGCAAGCTTCGCATGGCGGCTGTGGCACGCAAGGATAAATGGATTCGCAAACTTAGGTTTGCGCACCAAGTCTATAGAAAGTTCAGCGTATGCCCTTGACGGAGGTGCAAGCTGGTGGCTTGCAAACGCTCACCTGCCGAAATCTGCGCTTCAGAAGTAGAAGGCAGTGCCTTCAATTCATTAAGGGACTCTTCAGCTGCCTACAATTTAGTCAGTACTGCACTTGCGTATCCCTTTTAATTGAGCGATTAAACATACATTACGCAATTCAGAGTTTCTTCTCTTGGATTCCTGAATCAGGTTCAAGAGCTCTGTCTGCAAAAATTGAGAGGACATTTCCACCGGAGTGTTTAATCAGTACATGGCCGATGCCACTCCTTATCGATCAAATAGTAGTATCACTAGGCAGATGTGGCTTCATGTGGTTGGGTCGCTGGTTGGACGACGGAATACAAAGCTAAGCACTTGAAACACGACAATACCAGACCAATATGTTCTAGATACAAGCCGCATCAATATAAATTTGCAGCAGCTGTAGCAGACAATGACTGGCTCATTTAAAACAACTCAAAAGCAATGGCATCAGGAGTGACATCTTGGGAGCGCCAAGGCACCCGCGGAGATAGAGCTATCACGTGATATATACAGCCGTTATCATCACGTGCGGTAGTTCTTCAGGAACCCGGCGGGACCAGATACGCAGCCCAGCCAAACGGCCGGAAGTGGGATAAGGTCACAGTGCCCCTCCTCCGCCCCGAGGATCGAAACGTCTCCCTTACAACTTCCTATCTAACTTTCGCTCACTTTCGACCTAACCCTACCTCTTATCTGCACAATGGGAGCTAAAGTGCCCAGAAATTTCAGACTGCTCGAAGAGCTGGAGAAGGGTGAGAAGGGCTTGGGAGCTGGTAAGTGCTATGCTACTCATAGTCATAAGAAACCCATTTCGCTGACGTATACCTATCGCTATTACCTAGAGTCATGCTCCTATGGTCTTGCAGATGGTGAAGACATGATGATGAGTAACTGGAACGGCACTATTCTTGGCCCCCCTCACGTTCGTCCACCGCTTCCGGCTCGCATCCGTTATACTACACAGTAGCGTCACTGACTTTATGAACGAGCGCAGAGTGTCCATGAGAACAGAATTTACAGCGTCAACATCCATTGCGGTCCGGATTACCCTGACAACCCCCCTACTATTCAGTTTGTATCCCGAGTCAACTTGCCATGCGTTGATGGCCGGAGCGGAAAGGTAAGGATCCGTCCTGTCTCGACCACTACTACGTGAAAGGTTTCCAGTCTGACTTCATATAGGTCGATCCTACCAAGCTGCCTTGCTTGGCTCAGTGGAAGCGCGAGTATACCATGGAAACTATTCTAGTCGAGCTCAGAAGGTAACCATTGCCTGACCTTCAGGCCATTGTGTCTTTATACTAACAGTTTCCAGATATATGGCTCTGCCCCAGCACAAGAAGCTTCCGCAGCCTCCGGAAGGCTCGAACTTCTAGAATAACGGTATCATGACTGGTTGGGGACACGAAAGCGGAGTATATGGTTGGTTTCTAAGTCAGTTTCATCTGCATTTCTTTTCAATGGCTTATTAGAGCATGTACAGTCTATGCATAACGGCGGGCATGGCGCGGTCTTCTTTGAAGCCTAGTTGCAATTCATCGATTTAGAACATTGCTCAGTATGAACCGTGTGTCGCTTTTGTCGAAGCCATATCTGCCGAACTAACAAGGCCTTGTACCCTTGTTTTTGGCGGGTATTTTGGACAGCTTTCAGAAGCGACCATACCGGCGAAAGACATTAGACCATGATCAGCATATAGAGGAATATCCGGAAATCGGGTCCCTTCCGTCGCCTGTTGTAGATCGGATAACAGTAGAGTCTATACAGCTGCACGGCACGCACTGCAAACTTCCGGTGCAATCGATTCACAAGTAATAGTGTCGGCCGTTTGTCAAAATTCTAAAAGTTCCTACACCATTGCATGCCCTGATTACAATATATTATTGTTTAATCACAGTATAGGCATATCATTTCGGTTACACGTGACGTATTTCGGATTGCCGGAGTAGTCACATGTCTCCGACTAAAGTCCGGAACTTAAGCCTTCAGGATCATGCTGCCTCCTCGATAATGCATAGAACAGTTGTTCCCAGGCAGTCTTCCGCTCATCGTTTCGCAAGTAAGTTTCTTCAGAGACAGTAATATTTACTGAGCGTCACAAGAGTTTGACTAACTGCTGTTTTCCTTTCCAGCTTTGGCACTTTATCGAGCGCTCCTCCGACAATGCGCCAAACTACCACATTCTCCCTCCGAACTCGCTGCGTGCAAGCCGTACATCCAGAATAGATTCAACAGATACAAAACGCTTCAGAGTCCGTCTCAAACAGCCAATTCACTTAGGGCAGGCTACGAGGTGCGTTAACAATCGGCTCTCAATCAACCATTCAGTATCTAAATTCCGCGATTTCGCAAAAACTCAGGCTCTTGACCTACTGTACTCAGCCTCGCAAGGCGACCAAAATGGCGTTCAACGGATAAGGAAACTCATATCGGAAAGTGAAGCGGCAAAGCGACAGAAATCCGAATGGCACAGGGAACGAGCTAAGGTTATTCCGGTAAAGCCCGTGAGCCGGAAGGAGCTGAAGAAAGAGGCAAACAAACGATACCGAGTATTGACTGCGAAACGGCATCCGGATGCTACCTCTATTCTTGCACGTCCTCGGCCTGTAGTCAATGGGAAGCGTCGAGTTCCTGTACTCGTGAATGCGCGTGGTTTCCCGTTCCTCCTCATCAAGAAGCCCCAGCCTAAGTTTCTAAGCGCTGTGCTGGATTCGAAACTGAAAAGGCGCTGGAAGAGGATGGAGCGCCTAAAAAGGCTCGAGTCCGAGTTGCCCATGGCCAGAGACGAGGATCAATGGGATCTTTTAACTGGCCATAAGGAAGATGCAAAGTGGGCTGGGCCAGTTAGAGTGTCACTTAAAGAGGTGCAGGGACAAATATCAGAAGGCGATAGGAGGACCAAGGAACTGGCGCAAGCTATGTGGAAAGTCGTTCTTGAAGAGCGCAAGCTGGCGGAACAAGAGGAGAAGCAACGGGTCGAGCAAGTCGGAGAGCAACCAGCGGAAGGAAAAACGAATTCCTCAGCAGAGGAACACGATAAGAAACGGCTGAGTGAGGGATGAATCAATGCCGGAAGAAATGTTCTGTTACAGCCATCCAAAGCTTGCGCTTGGCAGATCATCCTGTCCAGCACTTTATCCTTATGAGCCCAAAGCCGTCACACCCACCACGCTACCAGTACGGTACTATTGTGAGAATGCTCCAGCGTCCCTAATTGGAGCTGAATTCGGCGTATCTTCTACCGTTTACGGGGTACGCCGCTTCTCCGGCTTTTCATCATGTCCCTTATGACGGGTCAACGCTACTACCAACAGAGTGCGTTTGGAAATAAGAAGTATGGCAGGTACATGTGCATAGTGCAACAGTGGCTGGCGCATGTACAATCATAACTACCACATACTAGTCTAATGTCAAGTACAATGTCTCGCAAGGGATCCATACTGCTTCCATCTGCTATGCGGTAGTAGACAAATGCTTTCGTAGGCTTACTGCACACCAAACTTCGTGGTTGGCTATCAACTGCTCAACGTCAAACAGCTAGCGTCCTTGTCATACAGCCGGGATTATTTACAATATAGTAATTCCAAAGAATGCCAACTTCTAGTGGCTCGATCCCCATCAAGCACGGGACTGAATTCTCGCCAGAGATCTCATCTAGAGACCCCAGCTTCTAAGCAGCTATCTTCATATTCTCTACAGCAGCCGGAATACCATCCTCCTCATCTTCATCAAAGTCTGCCCTTCCAGCAAGACCTCTCTCCCACAGCTGCTTGCCCGTCAACTTCTTTTCTTCCTTTGCCGGACCCTTCTTTGTAGCCTTCTTCTCCTCCGCCTCCTTCTCCTCGCGCTTCCTCTTCTCTTCCTCCTCCATCTCCTTTATGAACTTGTCGCGCCACTCCAAAAACGTCTCCCGATTGACAGCAGTGCCCTGGAACTTCCGGTTCTCCTCCTCTTCCGCCTTCTTCGCCTCCATCTCTTTTTCGGCGTGAACGGCATTCACGCGCTCCGCCATGAGCTCTTCGGCGCTCTCCTTCAAAGCACTAACCAGTGTAAATACCATAGCCATTCCCATGTTCTCCTCAATGGTCGGTTGCAAGGCTTCGAGAAGCCGGTCCCGGTCTTCACTGATGTCTAGTCGGGGGTGTTTCGGTGCGTTCGGAGGCGCACTCAACTCTAGTTCCGGTGCAACATCCGGGTAGTCTGCTGGGTATGTGACTTGCAGAAGCAAGACAGGCTGCTCTGTTTCTTCGACCTCATTTTCGGGTGCGTCGAGAGCAATTGATATCCGGTATGAGGTGTCAGAAATATCTGGGGTGGGATCCGGTCAGCGATTTTGTTTGAGAGATTTCAAATGGGGCGTGCAAGGTGATTAAAGTGCCGCCTTCTTACCTGTGATTTCCTCAGGAAAAATGGAGTCGAGCACTTCGCGCTCTTCGATCTGGTCTTCGCGGCCCATGCTGCTTCAATTCTGCCGCCGGCGGGGCTGGAGGGGTATTGTTTGGTTCTGGGTTTAGGGACAAGGGCGATGGCTGGAGATTCAAGAATCAGACACTCAAAAATCTAGCAATATGTTAAATCGAAGAGACCAAGCAAATAGTCGCTGGTCTTATGGTCTAGACGTTGACAGGCTCGTGCTTGGGAAATGAATTCCTCGGTCTTAGGTGTGTAAGTAGAATACGCTGCGATTCCACATGCAAACCAGACAAACAGATAAGGAATCGCCCAAATTTGTCCCGCCCGAAAAAGGGAATTTCTATGCTCCGCCTTCTCGAAATTCAAAGCTTCAAGCATTTACACTCAATATTCTTATTTATAAAACCTTTCTACCCTTTACTCCGTGTCCTCAAATAACCCCTTCAAGTACGTTTGACATATAATTCCGTTACAGCTTATAGATCATGGGAAAATCAAGACCTCACAACAAGAAGGCCTCCAAATCTCGCGCAAAGTCCGTTTTGGGCGCTGGCGGCTCGGTTTCGAAACAAAAAATGAACGAAGACCCCTCTAAGCTCCTCGAGCAGGCGACGATACAGCTCCAGACCGGTCAACCGGACGCAGCTCTCCAGTTAGCTCAGCAAGCCCTTAACAATGCGCCGGACAATTCTCCATCTCAATTAGTGGCACTTAATACCGTTGGAGAGATCTACGTTGAGCTGGGCGAGATCGATGTTGCGAAACAACACTTTATGCGTGCCATCGAGCTCGACCCGAATGGCACGATCCCTGAGGCTGAAGGAGGCGGTGCTGAGAAGTTCCTATGGCTAGCTCAATTGAGCGAACAGGGTGGGAAGGACAGCGTTCAATGGTTCGAGAAGGGAGTGTCGTCGCTCAGGCATATTATTCAGCAGCTTGAGCAGAAACCTGGCCCTGAGGAAGCGCTTGAGCTGGCCGAGAAGAAGCGCAAGATGGCGAATGCCCTCTGCGCTGTTGCTGAGATCTACATGACCGATCTCTCGTAAGTGGCTCTCCAATTCATTTTTCTTCCATGGGTGGGTTGGTCGCAGATCTTTTAGTGCTGACTGTCAATAGGTGGGAAGAAGATGCGGAAAACCGTTGCGAATCACTCATCACAGAAGCCCTCCTTGTCGCTCCGAATGCGCCCGAAGTACTACAGACCCTCGCATCGATCCGGATCTCGCAGCTACGGACAGAAGAGGCTCAAGCAGCGCTCAGGAGGAGTCTCGATCTTTGGAAAGACCTACCGCCCGAGGACTTGTCCATTCCTGACTTTGCGACAAGAATCAGTCTTTCCCGTCTCCTGATGGAGGTCAGTATGGAGCTTGAGGCTCTCGAGGTGCTGGAACGCCTGATCTTGGAGGACGATCAAAGTGTAGAGGCATGGTATCTTGGAGGATGGTGTCTGCAGCTCCTGGCCGGGAAGCAACAAGCACCGAAGGATGCCGACGAAGAGGACGGCAACACCCCAGAGGCCAGGCGCCATGCATCACTCGTGGCTAGCCGCGAGTGGCTCAAGCAAAGCTTGACGCTGTACGACCTCGTTCAGTATGAGGACGAGAGGCTTAAGGAACACGCACTGGAATTGGTCCAAGAGATGAACAAGGAGATCGGTGAAGATATGGATGACGATGAGGCCGGGGAGGGTGAGGAAGATTGGGAGGACGAGGAGATCGAGGTGGAATCTGACGGCGATGACGAGATGGCTGACTCATAAAAAGCTGCATGTTTTGATTGTTACGAAAGTTCTTTGTCATGATACCAGTATATAAAAGGGCATGTTTTCCGATACAACCTACGGCTATTCAAAGGACTCCGATTGCGGACACGATCCAGCAGTAGTCGAACTAGTAGTAAGTACTAGTAGTAGCTGCGATAGTCTCTCAATCAGCAGACGGCGCCGGATAAAGTAGGGTCCGACCGCTTTCCCCCGGCGATAACCAGAGCCAAATTTATTCCGGCAGTTCGACTTCGAGTGGCAAATAGCTCAATGTGAGTGAGGAGTCGTTATAGAGGTTGCTGGAAGCGTCCTATCTTCCCACACAGGATGGACCTTGTTTCAGCGCCCAGCGGGGAGGATTCCTCGTTGAAGGATCCGGTGGTCCAGGTGGAAGCCGTTGATATGGCCTCCGCAGTATCAAAGACCGGCACCGCAACGGAGAATACAGCCGCTGCGAAGGAAGAAGTGACTCAGTCGGAGTATGAGACCGATAGCGACGGCTCAGGCGACGAGTGGGAGACTCAGTCTCTATACGAAGACGCTATCCAAGTCCTACGCGACGATCAGCTCCGTGAGGGTGGTAAGCACCCTATATGATGTCCTCTATATGCGCGCACTGACCGGATCTTCTCCTTGTTTTAGTACCGGATGCCTGCACACTGGAAGAGGCCGTCGCCTATCGGAAACGACTCCATGAGGTTGGCAAGGCTGCATTTGTTGAAGAAACGCTGGGTCAGGACAAAGTGACTGCGCGAAAGCTGTGTACTGCGTTCGGCATCTTGCCCCCAGCCTTTCTAGACGATGCGCCGGACGAGGCCTTTCATCCTCTCCTGGCTATCGCGATTTCGCGCGAGTTCTCCAGGCGCCCGAAGCTCCCACAGTATAATACAATTGATGATGCGGTCAACTTGCTCAAGGAGAGCAAGAATATCGTCGTCTTAACTGGCGCTGGTGTATGTTGATCAAGAGGATTGGTACCCGTTTATGAAACGTGTGCTGATAGGATATTCTCAGATTTCTACGAGTCTCGGAATACCCGATTTCCGTTCAAAGGACACTGGTCTCTATTCACAGTTGGCGCATCTAGGCCTGAGCGATCCTCAGGAGGTATTTGACATCCAGGTGTTTCGCGAGGATCCTAGTATCTTCTTCTCGATCGCGAAGGACATTCTTCCCACCGAGAAGAAGTTCTCGCCAACCCACGCCTTTATCCGTGTTCTGCAGGATAAGGGGAAGTTATTGACCAACTACACTCAGAATATCGACAATATCGAGGCGAATGCCGGTGTCCTCCCAGAGAACATCGTGCAATGCCACGGATCGTTCGCCACGGCTACGTGTGTCAAATGTCAGTACAAGGTCAAGGGTGATGAGATATTCGATGAGATCAAGCAGGGAGTTATCCCTCAGTGTGAGGCTTGCCGCAAGCGCATCGCAGAAGATTCGGGGATCAAGAGGAAGCGGAGCAGCAACGGAGTCCACAAGAACCGCAAGGACAATGATGGGGACAGCACTGATGACGACTACGAAATCCCTACTCCTGGTGTCATGAAGGTTCGTGGAAACCCATATCTTGTACATTTATTACCCACAATATGCTGATCCAAATCCCTTCAGCCCGACATTACATTCTTTGGGGAAGATCTTCCTGATGAATTTGGCCGCCGGTTACTGCACCATGACCGTGACCAGGTAGACCTCGTTATTGTCATTGGGACTTCACTGAAGGTTGCCCCTGTAGCGGAGGTTCCGGGCGTGCTGCCTCGAACGGTTCCTCAGCTCTATATCTCGCGTACTGTAAGTCACATCATTCTTGTGCTCTTGCGTCTCGGGCTTTACTAACACGATCTCAGCCTGTGTCGCATACGGAATTCGATATTGATCTTCTCGGCGACTGCGACGTGGTGGTGTCTGAGCTCTGTCGTCGAGCTGGATGGGAACTGAAGCATGAGATGATTCCCGAAAATGAGAAGGTTGAAGTGCTTCCAGTGGGGGGTTACGAGTCACGACATGTGTTTAAGGTTGTCGGCGCATAGCGGCGGCGTTTGGTCCTGGTCATCTCTGGCTCTGTGGATCTCAAGGACGGCGTAAGTTTGGGTTTTTCTTTGAACAGTTTCTGTGGGTCATCTTGTTGGGAGGCATAGTATGTATGAGGGATGCTTAATCGGGTGCATAGCTGTACCATACAGCATGTAGTATGCTTGCTGCTTCGATGTATTTATGTTTTGTTTGACTGGCATCAGCCTGTGCGTTAAACCGTTATTAATTCTTCATTTACTACATTCTTCTTTATACCAAGTTCAATTTACCCCAATGCTGTAGATTGAATTTTCTCAAGTCACAGTACTTAGTTGTGTTCCCATAGGCTGGTTCAGATATTCTGGGGTGAAAGATGGCGGGTTCCCGGCCAAATCCATCCAATCCACTGGAACAAAAAGAAAATTTATTTCCGCTCCTGTCAACGGCCATTAATTAACAAAGAACCCCCAGCAGATCAGAGCGGACCAAAAATATTCCTTTGAAGGCAATTTGGCTCTGTACCACTAACTCTGAATCTTGATACATCCTCCAAATACGTGGCGAGCGTGAGTGCAACCGACAATGGAGTATCTCATTCGCTTCGCCCAGGCCCATGAGTCTTTTCGGCAGGCCGAGATGCAGGCACTGGCTGACCTGGCGGGCGTGAAACTCGAATTCATACATTATGATAAAAATGTAAGTAATATAAATTCTTTTCTTTCTGTTCCTCAGTCCCAATAATCTATATCATACATTCATTGTGCGGTTTGCTGCCCCGCGTGAGGAACAGAAAATGCCACTCACCCCTCCTCATTGGGATCATTATCCTGTCCCCGCACCAATGACTATCCACCATCTATCTACATTTTATACATGCAGCTAACCACCACCATCAGTCCCCATTCTGCACAATAAGACTACCCGATGAAGCGGCAGCTCGTGCAGTGATTACCCGAAGCATTATAGCCAAGGATATCTTCGAGCTCTGGGGCCAAGGCACCAACTTCGACGAAGTCTACGCCGACGTCCGCAGGCGGACGGAGGATCGCTGGGCGCAGTACAGGGACTCGTCGTTCCGATTCACCATTGACAGCTTCGCCGGAAAGCGCAGCAGTGAGAAGAAGCGCGAGATCATCCAGTCATTTTCCTTCCTGGGGTTCAAGGGCCCCATTCGCATGAAGAACCCGGACCAGGATTTCTGGGTGTTTGAGGACTACGGATTGGATCTTAACTCGCCTGGTACGCCTCGTCCTGAGGGCCAAGAACCAAAGATTATTTACTTTGGACGCTGGATTGCGAATAGTAGTCGGGATGTCGTCAATAAATATGACCTCAAGAAGAGACGCTATATTAGCACTACCTCTATGGATGCGGAGTTGACCCTCATTACGGCTAATATGGCTCATGCCGCGCCTGGGAAGCTCTTCTATGATCCGTTTGTGGGTACGGGGAGCTTCTTGGTGGCTATGTCGCATTTCGGGGCTGAGACGTTCGGATCGGATATCGATGGACGCAGTTTCAGAGGTAAAGAGATGATGGAGAGGGGTGGGACGATGGGAGTGTTGTCAAACTTCCAGCAGTATGATATGGTCGGCAAATTTATGGATGCTTTTACTTCCGACCTTACAAATACGCCTTTGCGCTCGGCTCAATTCTTGGATGGCATCATTTGTGATCCGCCTTATGGTATCCGCGAAGGACTCAGGGTTCTTGGGAGACGTGAGGGTCTCAGGAACGAAGAGGTCATTATCGATGGAGTTCCTGCTCACTAGTATGTCTACATTGTCGCTTTTGAGTATCAATATCTGGACTTGGATGCCCACTAACATGCGTTCAGTCGACCCGGATATATTGCGCCTAAGAAACCCTACGGTTTCGAAGCCATGCTCAACGATATCCTTAACTTTGCCGTCAGAAGTCTCGTTACGAATGGACGTCTAGCCATGTGGATGCCAACGGCAAATGATGAGGAGGTTGAATTAGCAGTTCCGATGCACCCGAACCTGGAGGTAGTGAACGTATCTGTCCAACCGTTCTACACCTGTAAGTTCATATGAAGCCTTCCCAGACAACATGTGAGATAAAGTACACGGCTAACCTGTTGACCAGGGTCTCGTCGACTCATCACCTATCGAAGACTGCCAGAAGGACAAGTCTCGGATGTTTCCAAAGGCCGGCAAAAACTGGATGCTCAGGGAATGTACGCAGACGAATTGAATGAGTTCAGAAGAAAGGTATGCCATGCCGACACAGTATACAGCTATACAGTCCTAACTATTCAATCAGTATTTCATGAAGAACCCGCCCGACAGCTCGAAATCAGGAAGAGAAAGCTCCGCCTCATGAACAGCATTAGAATAGAATATAACCAAAAATCGAATTAAAGCAATGACTCTATAACGCCCATCATGATACGAACCAAAATCATCCACATCTATACTTCTACGAGTACCATCAAAGCTTCCCTTTTTCCACTTTGAATCCCCCAAACTCCCCTTCTAAATCCACCCCCTCATCCTTCTTAAACCTCTCAACTTCCTTCGCCAACTCCTCCCTCAACAACCCAGCCAGACTCTCCCCCTCCTCATCATCCAAATCCTCCCTCTGCCCACGCCCAAACATCACATAGCTCAAATGAGCCTTTCCCTTCCCTTTCGCCGGCCGATCAGGCGGCCTGGGAATAACATGAAAGTGAACGTGAGGGACCTGCTGCGCAGCTCTGACACCTATTCAATTCCGACTCATTAGCCACCAAATACCAAATAAAGTAAATAGCCTAAACGCCAAATCTCAAAAATGGACAATAAGACATGTAGATATCCAAATTTCACAAGCCGTAAGATCGACAAACCAAATCGCCGCGCCGTCGAGGTGACACAAGCATAGCATAAGTAGATAGATAGATAGGATAATAGTAAATGCTTAGCAACCAAACCTACCATTATTTTGCACGACATTCCAATTCCACAACGAGTTAAAGTCCCCTTGCTCTTCCTCTCCAAAGAGGGTCCGCATCACGACCCTCGAGATAACGGGGAGCCATTGGCCGATCTGTGTCATTCAATGCGTCAGTCAGTCAGTCAGTAGATAACCCATAGTAAAATACTGTAGTACGTATTCAAGACACTGCCATATTCCAACAAACCCAATCCAAAACAAACTATAACAGAAACACAAAATAACAACCCAAGTCAAATCCAAATAAGCAAAAGTAAACCCACAATTCCAGAAAACAAACCCAAACCCAAACAAGAACTTAACAGTTAACGTACCTCCCTCCCCACATCCACCCTTACATCCCCCAACCTCTCACAATGTTCCCTCGTAGCAACCAAAACATGTCCTCTCGTCAAGGGCATAATATCCAAAAACGCCAGGACATGTTTCGTGGACAGGAGGAGATGGGCATGGCCAGGGCCGTCTGAATTGCTCGGCTCGGTAAATGAATCCGGGGAAGGAATGTCAGTAGTAGTAGTAGTAGTAGTAGTAGTAGTAGTAGTGGGCGCCGCCGCCGCGGCAGCCGCTAAATTTAAATGATCATCGTGGGAGGAATTCTTCGGGCGGAGGAATGTCGTTGGTGGGAGGGGCGGGTATTTGTGAGCGATGGCGCAAAAGGGGCATGTGTGGTGATGATCTGAGGTCATGATGGTAGGGGGTGGTTGGCTGGGTGGGTAAGATAGATAGATAGTAGATGGATATCTGGGGTAAGGGATTGGGGGTTGGATAGGATGAAGGGTTGTTGGGTTCCTGAGATTGATTGGTGGTAGTTGGGTAGTGACTGGGTCCGTTCCTAGGAGCAACCGGGACTAAATATGTGTCTGTGCTTTGGAGCTAGGAGAGAGGGAATTTGATCGTCACTGGGGGGTATCTTGAGTAGGAATTCGAGATTTGGTTGCTGTGCAGAAGGATGAGGAGATATGGGATGGCTAGCTTGTTGATCCTCGGTGCCTCGGTTCTCAACTCCAGGTCACTGCCAGGTTGGAAACTTCCCGCGCATTAACCACATTTGCTTACTTAGAAGGCTTGTATCTAGGTGATCTGCAAGTAGGATCAAGGGGTGGTACACAAACTTCCTGGTAGTTCAAGGCTAAACTAACCATCCTTAACGCACATTACCATAATCCTTGCCACTCTATCCGTGATATACCCCCGCTAACTCAACATGAATGACACTAATACCAAAAACAAGCCCTTTTTCACCTTTCTCTCAACCTTGGGTCTATGCCCCGATGTGTATTGTCGTAGCTGTATGGCATTGGTTCATTCCGCACGCCTTGACCAACATAATGCGGTGGTAGATAGATCGTCACAGTCCTGCGGAAGCTGTGTAATAAGTCCGAAGAGTACCCGACGCCGATGAACAAGAACTTTGGATCCAAAAATAAAAAGAAACGAGTAAATTTCCGTCCTTGAAATGTCCGACGCCTGGAAGTCACACAGGGTAAGACGTGAGAAGGTTATGTAAGGTATCAAAGCAAGTGCGAAACAACCCAGACACTACCAGAAATGAAGAGAATCGAAGAACAGCAGAAAAAGCAAAGCCAGATGTGCGCCAGACACCCCTGGAAGAAGCGAAGATGCAAACGTCCGCAACCGAAAACAACAAAATGCCGTTCATAAACATATGCAAGAGGTGCCTAATACCATCACGAAAGAAATACCATCATATGGAATCAACAAACTCCTATCCTCGGTCGTGCTGCCTGACGCCGATATTAAGTCACCAGAGGCGGCGGGTTATTTATTCATGGTCTTTCATATAAGAGTAGGGCTCGGATAGCGAACTGTTGATATACAGGTGGTGGTATTTCTTCGCCCATTGCCGGGTGAGGATGGATGCTAGTCACGTTAGCGGTTGGTGGTCCAATGTCAATACTATAGAGGCAACATACCCTTCAAGAACTTCTTGCTGGCGTACTTCTTGAAGAACGCCTCATGAGAGACAGGGCGGTGAAGGTAATCAATCATTAAGCGGAAGACGGGGTCGATCTCTTCTTCAGTGTAACCGGCATAATGAGCCAGGGTGGCATCCTAAGTCATCAATTAGCATAATGAGCCCGTAAGATGTGTGGAAGAAACATACCCAGACACCCCGGTCAAGGATGAGACGAGCCAGATACATGGCAGCAGCCGCCACATGACTCTGGCGGTAACCCATGAACCTGTGGTCCAAGAGGCTGATTTCCATGAGGTACTTGCCGAGAGTACGGGTCTGGATATCATAGTTGTCTGCTTTCGAAATACGACGGAGGAAGTTCATGGGGTTGGGGTAGCTCATATTGTACTCGAGCGTAGCGAGAATGTGCCGCTCAGCGTCCAAGATCTCGCGATCGGTGAAAGTTCCGTCTGCGACATCGGTGAAGTTGGCAACGTGTGGCGAAAGAACTTCCTCATACTTGGACGCGATGAACATAGCGGCGACACCAACCAGTTGAAGACGGTCCAGAGCCACCACCTCAGCAGAGAGGAAGCGGTCAATGATGTTGACGGCAAGGAAGAGGGTCTCGGGGAGGAGGCGAAAGCGGGTGTGGACCTCGATGAGCCAGTCGACAAGGATGCCGCGCATCTTCCACTCCAGGTCAGGTTGATGATCGATGTACTCGGCGTTGGGCAAGGTCTCCAGCTCAAGGTCCTTCAGATATTCGAAGATATCGACAACGTATTCAGCAACCATCAAAGGGTCATCAAGATCTTCGGCGTCGAGATCGTCAACAAAATCATCGACAGGCTTTTGCAGAACCTTGGGATCGACAGGAACATTGACATCCTCCTTGGCGTTGGCGAGCTTCTCGGTGAGAGTCTTCTGTTCGGTAACCTTCTTCTCGACTTCGACCTTCTTTCGGGGACGTGGTTCCTCCTCAGCTGCCTTCTCTTGAATTGCCTTCTCGCTGGATGTCCGCTTGGTGCCCGATCCACTTCCGGGGCGCTTTGTTTCTGTGGTAGGCTTCTTTGGGTTGCTGTCCTTAGGTCCCAGGGCAGCGCGTGATGAGTTGTTGCGAGTAAGTTTCTGAACTCCACCAGCCTGCAATGTTGCTTTAGACGTCAAGCCAACCTTCGTGGCAGCTGGCTTCTTGGCATCCTTGGTCTCTCCATTCTCTGCTTTGGAAACATTGCTCACATCACCAAGGGCGGCGCGTCTCCGGGTTCCGGTGGTAGTGGTGGTGGTCGCGGCCTTCTTCGTCTGGAGCGGCTTCTTGGCGGGGGGAGCCCCAGCGTCATTGACTGACAGGGCAGCGGCCTTGGCCCGCGTCAGACGCGTCGATGGGCCATTCTCATCGTTCTCGTTCATCGTGCCTCTCGTACGAAGACTCCGAGCCTGTTGAACAGTTAGAAATATACGCGTGCAAGATGGACCTTCAAGCCCATCGAGCTCGCGACCGAGGATTGCACAACGCGTAGTGTGAGGTCAAGGACACTTACAGGTGGCATGATGGATAGGGGGAGAAGGTAAACTGAATATAAGGAGGGGCAAGGAAGGGAATAAGAGTAGAGTGCAAGAGTATGGTTCTGCAGGCGGTTGGAAAGTCTAGTCAGCATTCCAGGAGAGATTACCCCAGTGGAGCTCAAATACCGGTTGCCGGAAGGTAGATTTGCACGTACCACGCGTGAATATGTGTTCAACCCCAATCAATTAGTCTGAATGCAAGGTTTCCCAAGTCGAACGGTCGGGTACTTGGAAGGAATTTGGCAGGAGTGGGCTCAGAATCGTGGCATATATGGCTTTGTTGATGCTATTGACAGGAGCTCGCAAGACCCGAGACACGTAACTTTCCACGGCGTTGACGGCCCCAAAGTATGTTTTTATGGTGATATAGCAAGGTAGAGTAGTAGTTTATAAGTAATGACACGAGAATTTGGCGAAGAAACGGGGTCCTATTAGGGGTGGTGGTCGCCTCCCTGGAGCAGATGATGATGGAGAGGAGTAGGAAAAGGTGGTAAACTTGACAGGGCAAAGAGGATGTTTGGCCCTAGTCTTAGCGTGGAAACTGGCCAGGCTGGGAAAGATGCCCCACAGCACAATCCAGTGGGATCGCGTGGATTGCGGATTATTAACTGCTGTACAACGTCGTGTATATGCAAGCCTGGAGACAATAGTCACGGTCCCCAGGTATTATGGTATGTACGGTGAAGGCCAATTGAGAAATAGTGGTAGTTGGTAGGAGAGAAGTGGAGGGAAAGGAAGAGTGACAGACGGGAAGAGACAGCAACGAAGGGCGGGAAAGAAGGCAATTAAGAGAAGCAAGTCTATGGTTCTGTATGGATCGATCGCATGTATGTATGTGTATGCGTATGTATGACGGACGTGACTTCCCTGGCAGAAGTCGCTGTAAAAAGGGCGGAATTGGTGGTGTAAAAGGTGGCAGGCAGGGTGGTAATCATACAGTCACGGTTTACGGGAGGACTCCCAAGGGAAACAAGGCGGATCCTCATCCATGGTCGATGCCTGAGCTGACCCAGGCAGGAAAACACCCTCGACTCTCCAAACGCCCGTCGCGAGCAAAAACGTGATGGAGCGCGGCCACGATCGCCAAAACAATTGCTGGTTGCGCGGCAACCGACCCGGAGCTTTTACGCTTTTTCGTTCCCTTCGGACGTGTTGCCGTGTCGCGCCGTCCCGTGACTCAAAGCCTGAGCCACACTTAGTCAGTCCCGGAAGCGGCGGTGCCATTCAAGTCATGTGCCAGAGCGTCAAGCCACACCTCCCAATCCATGCCAGACATTTTTGCTCCGGAGATCGAGTAGAAGTGCGGCTATTGTCACCGGTGCCCCCAACAACACTCCAATTGAGCACGGTGTTGCTGATAGTGGTGTCAGGGACGCTGGAAATTTTGCATTGCCTGTTTTGTTGTCTTTAATTCTAAGCATGTCAAAGCAGTAGCTTGCTTGGATTTCCTCACACCACTTAGGGTACCACATTGCGGTATTGCTTTGACATCTCCGATCACGACCGATTGACATTGAAATCCTTCCGACTTTTTACCTCACCACATACATTACACTCCAATATGCTTCAGACTCGCTTGGCCCTTACGGGCCTTCGTCTTCCGTTTCGAACCTTGTCTATGGCCGTTTCGTCGCGGGCCTATTCGACTGTCGTTCGCGAGCAAGAGAATCCGTCCGCTGACGAGCCTGCAAGTTCGACCTTCGACCCCAGTATCGCCTTCGCCCCTCCACCCACTCGTGATGACGCCGGTATCCTTCTACGCTCCTACACTCCACGAACTCCCGGTATCAGACATTTGCGCAGACCGATCAATGACCACCTGTGGAAAGGACGCCCGGTGCAGAAGTTGACCTTCCCCAAACGAGGTCAAGCCAAGGGTGGTCGTAACAACTCCGGTAGAGTGACTGTCCGCCATCGCGGTGGTGGCCACAAGCGTCGTATACGAATGGTTGATTTTGCGCGTGACGCTCCCGGTCCGCACGTGGTGGAACGTATCG